ATAGGTCTATATTTCTAATCTTTTAAATACCATAACTGTTAAATGTAAATATTAATTATATATATATATATATATCCTAAATGTAACGTATCAGACTTTTGCTAATTAATAATTAGAATTATTAATCACGCCTCTCTAACAGCTTAACTTGTGCAACATGTCTGACACACACGGAAACCAATCTCAACAAGTTTGAGATTTTACGATTTAGATTTATGATATGATACATTTTTAGATTTTGTATTTATATTTAAGATATCAGTTAAATTTTACGTTTCTATTTAAGATGCAAGGTTGAATTTTTTTCATTTAGATCAAAACTGCAAGAGATATATTAACATTAACATTTGCATATAAGCAGCGGTGGACGAAATACTCAATAGTAGTAATTGAGTAAAAGTATTGATAATCATAAATCTTACTCCATTACAAGTAAAAGTTACTCAAATATCTACTCAAGTTAAAGTATTGATAATCATAAATCTTACTCCATTACAAGTAAAAGTTACTCAAATATCTACTCAAGTTAAAGTATTGATAATCATAAATCTTACTCCATTACAAGTAAAAGTTACTCAAATATCTACTCAAGAATCATTCTGCATAAAATTGATATTTACAAGTGCTAATATATTGTTTTTATTAAAATAGTTTTTTAACATTTTCACTGAAGAATCAGACTTGCAGAGACACATGATTTTCTCTTTACCCCATATAACACATAATCTATTTCTGTTTATATTCTGTACTTATCATTTTTAATGTTAGTATATTGATGTGCAGAATTAACCAGTGTTTTTGTTGTCAAGTAATTGTTAAAGGAATAGTACACCCAGAACATGATTAGCCTTCATTTTCTATTCACCCCCATGCTGAACAACACTCTAGAGTACTTTTTTGATATCTCAAATGCATCTGGAGATCTGGGAGGCTTCTTGCTGTCTGCTGACATTCAAATAATGGAGGTCTATGGCGCCCGAGACAGAAAGGTCCATGAAAGTCCACAAAAAACGTGTCAATATTCCTCCATACTGCTCGTCCAATGTATTCCAAGTGTCCTGAGTGGGTAGCGTCCATAATTTACTCGAAACAAAGTCATTTAGAATGTTTTTAGAGCATAAACAGTAGTGTATAGGATTTCCTGAAAGCGCGCGCCTGCGCGTTCACGACGCTACGGAAGCCGGCAGACCAAACCAGACGAAAGTGCGCATTCAGCGTCTGCTCTGCCGATAATGCAAGCGTAGAAGAAGAAATGTGCTGTTTACCTGTGCAAAGAAAGAAACAACTGAAAGAAAAATGTCTGAGGACTTCAGTGTTGAGGAAGAGCATGAGTTCTTTGCCGAGCTGAATGCGCACTTTCATCTGGTTTGGTCTGCCGCGGTTTCCGTAGACTCGTGAACGCGCTTTCAGGAAATACTATACACTACTGTTTATGCTCTAAAAACATTCTAAATGACTTCGTTTCGAGTAAATTATGGACGCTACCGACTCAGGACACTTGGAATACATTGGACGAGCAGTATGGAGGAATATTGAAACGTTTTTTGTGGACTTTTATGGACCTTTCTGCCTCGGGCGCCATAGACCTCCATTATTTGAATGTCAGCAGACAGCAAGAAGCCTCCCAGATCTCCAGATGCATTTGAGATATCAAAAAAGTACTCCAGAGTGTTGTTCAGCATGGGGGTGAGTAGAAAATGAAGGCTAATCATGTTTTGGGTGTACTATTCCTTTAATATATGAAAAATATCACCTGAGATTATTACCGCTGCCATCTGTATTAGAGGGAAATCAATGGTAAGGGTGGCCACAGGGGTGGCCAGTAATTGACTAAGGGTGGCCATGGCCCCCCATCTAGCTGCGCCCCTGTTCTGTATACTGTAGTAATCAGAGTAATTTTAAAGAACATGTAACTTTCAGAAACTTCCTGCTGTACTGATGCGTAGATCCACCTGCTACAGATTCTACGCCACCTGGAAACAACTTCAGCATAAAAATGCTACAAAAATAAGTACAGATATTTTTCTCATTCTCGCATTTTCACAATGGGACAGAGGTTTAAGGTCAAAGACACATCCTTCTAAACAATATGGCCACATGGCAACAACTAACACATTAATAATATTTATGAGCTACTAAAAATATCTGCGCTGAGTTTCTCACATTTGTGGAACGCCATTTAAATCACTAAAACTGTGGTGTCCAGATTCAATCCTAACTGTAACGATCTTGGTTCTGTTGTTTTTCTCTAAGTTTTCAGTTTCAAGTTCATCCAGGTTTTTCCTTGTTTTCTAGCTTTATTGGTGTGTCTGGTTCATTTAAGTTGCTTAGGTTTTTCTGTCTGTCCTCTGCTGCCCCCTTGTGTTCTTTTCCCTTGGCTTCCTCATCAGCTCTAGTCACACCTGCTCCTTATCAGCTCGTTAGTCCTGCCTTTGTTCAGTCAGCCATAAATACGCTCCCTCTGCTGTCCCTCTTTGCAGGTTCCTCGTCTTATTTCATCCTACCGTGGCTCCTCAGGACTTTTTCCCCTGATGTTTCCATTGTCCTGGTTAGTGTTCAATTCTTATGTTGGTTTTTTTGGATTTCTGTTTTGATTTACATTTTTAAGTTGGATTTTTGGATTTTGCTGCCTGATTTTTCATTAAACCTTCCAAGATCTCACCCCTGCCTCTCAGCTTCTGCTTTGGGGTCCTAACAAAAACCTTAAAACCAAATCGTGACACTAACGGCTGCTATCTTCCATGTTGGAATTCCATTTCAAGAAAGAAAAACATCGGCTCTGTTCGAAAACCTAGGACGCATCCTTAGAAGACCGGATTCGAAGGCCGATTACGTCATAGTGCGGTGCCGAGGTCTGGTCGGATTCCAACAGTCCTCGTTATGCGGCCTTAAAATGCGTCCTTCTTTTTGCCCGATTTGAAGGACGGGTCTGATGTATCCTCGGTATTCTTGGATATCCCAGGATTCATTGCGAGACCAAGCAAGCCGTGATCAGAGTAACGGTTATTTGGCGCCGAACAGTGGTGAAAATTGGAAGTTCAGTTTAATATAATACAAGTCATTTAATAGTTCCGTCTGAGATTAATGAAAATAGTTGTTTTAATGGTTATTGAGTCAGATATGTGGCGGTAATGTTTGGTGTATCTAAAGGTTTTTATCTGTTACTGTGTAAATGGGTTTGGCTGTAATTTAAGGACAGATACTAATATATTTGCAGGGTGGGGACTATAAATCTGATAGGATTTTTATCTTTTTATTGCTGTTTTGCACAATATGTAGCCTGGGTGCCAGTCCGAACTTAGTCCCGCCCACAAGGTTTGAGTTTGGGGAAGTTCCGTCTGGCTCTGCTCCATAGTAGCGCGAGTATTAAAGCCCACTGTCAGGCGATCCAATCAAATTGTCAGGGCGGGCTTTGTACGATGATGGACAGATGATCAAGAGTAACGTTATCAACCACGTGACCAATGCGCGCTTGGGTGACAACAATAATGGCTGCCGCTGGAGAGTTGAGGTGAGTAGATTCTGCTATTAGGTCTGTTCTAGAAGATATCGACAGCAAATTAATTTTAAAAGAGGAACAGAGAAACGCGATCAAGTCTCATCTTCTTATTCTAGGCGTGCAACTGCACGCTTTGATTTTTGTGGACAACAACTATGCCTCGCTTAAGATACGTCACGCACTCCGTTGCTCTTATTGGTTGTAGGTCTGTCCAATTGAGTACAGAGGCATTTTTTTTCCTGGTTCGTTCAAAACACGCCCCATAATCACAGCTCTATGGAGCAGTATCAGACTCATATTCTGACTAGAATTGAGTCGGACTACGTCAGGCTACACAATATGCTTAACTACGTATTTTTTGTTGTTGAATATTAGAGATTTTGCAGATATATTTTTTATCAATACATTGTTTAGATTTACTTATATCTTTCTACCCCTTTTAAAGAATAGAATAGAAAATCCCTTTATTGTCCCACAATGGGGAAATTTACAGCAGCAGAAAGATTATTGAAAATGGTCACACAAATGAGGACCTTAGAAAAATGTATAAGAATAACATAATAGGGAAGAGTTAAAATATAAACAATAAAATTCTGTAAAGTGTTTTAACAATATAAAACTGGGGAATAAATAACCAATATGCAGCTACGGACATTTTTACAGTAATGGATATTTGAAAATAGCAGCAACATCAGAGATGTGCAAAATGACAGCAGCATGTTATTTAACTGACTATGGTTTCTATCATTACATTTGATTTTATTTGTTCCTGCTCCCGCTGGTTGGAACATTTATTCCACTTTGGATTCTTGTGAGTGTAGTCTTTGTTCACTTCACAATAAAACAGAAATAAATAAAAGTTTTGAAAACTTCTGTATTCATTCTTTTCCTGCTTTGTGTGTCAACGTTTACGGTTGCTAAGCAACAGAGCATACGGCGGTAAAACCCGCCGAAGGGTAGACCTGGTCGAATTCACAGCCTAAACTCTTCCGGTCTCCTTATTTTCAAGGACTTCGAAGGATCCAGTCTAGGTAGACCGCGTCCATGGCGGACACGTCCTAGGTTTTCGAACAGAGCCATGAGCAGTGGATTATAAAGCTAAGCTGAGCCTAAAGGATCAATTAACAGCTTCCTAGAAACGTAGTAGAGAAGAAAGTACAATATATGACTTTGAAATGTTGGGGTGAAAATTATAAGTAACTTTCACCAAAAAAAAAAAGTTACTGAAGTAAAAATATTCAAAAGATACTTAAGCACAGTAATCAAGTACATTTGTTTATTTCCACCACTGCCTTTAAGGTATATTAAGATTTAACACTTGGAATCATTAAATATAAAAAAAAATGCACAAAATAAAGGAAAAGTTATAGAAACATTTATTTAAATTTTGTAAATTCAGCACCCTGTAGATTTCATTGAAAAGTTTCCATTTTGTACAGTTTTACAGATGTGAGCTTCTGGAGCTGAAAAGCTGCTCAGAACAGAGAACAAACTCCACTGCTTTGTTCAAGGTAGGTTTTATTCACAGGTAAGTCCAGGTGATGTCGGCTAGGTGTGCCGGCCTGCTGGAAGTCCCGGCTCGGAGTCCGGAGGAGGATGGTCCCGCTGATTGATGCCCTTTCATTATTGCACTGCTCGCTGCATCTCCCACAGTAGTGCAACAGGGAAAGAGTATCAAGCACTGAGCGTCCTGCAGCTGCGGCGGGTTGAGGCGTCGCGTTACCTCCTACCAGAACAGCTGAGCGCAGCAGAGATGGTTCTGCTGGATTTCACATCAACTCAGCTTTGCGGTAGTTGAGGAATTGGGTTAAATGGAGGCCTGTTCACATCTCTATGAGGAGCTTTCTATGCGCTGTGGCTATTTTCACTGCATGGATTGATTGTGGAGTAATCAGCACGCTCTGAGCAGAGGAGTGATGGGATGAGTCTGATGCTGGAGTTGATGGAAACTGAAATCAGAGCGAAAAGGAGGCGATGGAGGACGGGTGAAACACTTTTTTTCTCTTCTCCCATCTACTCCCTGATGATTAGACCAGCCATTCATTTATATTCTATATGTACATCTGTACATCTAATTGCCTTCACCATTTTAAAATGATTACATGAGGCAGATTTACATAAAATCCACTGGATTTAAAAAAGCCAACTGTTGTAACTGACCCCATCCTGAGGCGCTTAAACCATTTTATAAATCCATCCAGTTCCATAAATCCTCTTTGGCTTTTTTGTCTTAATAAATGTAAAATTTTTAGAATGTTTATTGCATCTAAAAGTGAACGACTAACCTGCAGCCACTGAACTAGCAGACATCCTAACATGAAGCAAACGTTTTAAATATCATTAAAATCCCAGATCAATCCAAACAAGAACTTAGGATTTCATTCAATCCTAAAATCCAGTTCTGAAACAGAAAAAAAAAGTTTTAAGAAATTGTGTTTAGAGCACAGAAATCTTAGAAATCTATTAATTTATACTGTATATACACTACCGTTTAAAAGTTTGGGGTCACATTGAAATGTCCTTATTTTTGAAGGAAAAGCGCTGTACTTTTCAATGAAGATAACTTTAAACTAGTCTTAACTTTAAAGAAATACACTCTATACATTGCTAAGGTGGTAAATGACTAGCCTGACGTAGTCCGACTCAATTCTAGTCAGAATATGAGTCTGATACTGCTCCATAGAGCTGTGATTATGGGGCGTGTTTCGAACGAACCAGGAAAAAAAATGCCTCTGCACTCAATTGGATAGACCTGCAACCAATAAGAGCAACGGAGTGCGTGACGTATGTTAAGCGAGGCATAGTTGTTGTCCACAAAAATCAAAGCGTGCAGTTTCACGCCTAGAATAAGAAGATGAGACTTGATCGCGTTTCTCTGTTCCTCTTTTAAAATTAAATTGCTGTCGATATCTTCTAGAACAGACCTAATAGCAGAATCTACTCACCCAAACTCTCCAGCGGCAGCCATTATTGTTGTCACCCTAGCGCGCTTTGGTCACGTGGTTGATTACGTTACTCTTGATCATCTGTCCATCATCGTATAAAGTCCGCCCTGACAATTTGATTGGATCGCCTGACAGTGGGCTTTAATACTCGCGCTACTATGGAGCAGAGCCAGACCGAACTTCCCCGAACTCAAACCTCGTGGGTGGGACTAAGTTCTGACTGGCACCCAGGCTAGTAAATGACTATTCTAGCTGCAAATGTCTGGTTTTTGATGCAATATCTACATAGGTGTATAGAGGCCCATTTCCAGCAACTATCACTCCAGTGTTCTAATGGTACAATGTGTTTGCTCATTGGCTCAGAAGGCTAATTGATGATTAGAAAACCCTTGTGCAATCATGTTCACACATCTGAAAACAGTTTAGCTCGTTACAGAAGCTACAAAACCGACCTTCCTTTGAGCAGATTGAGTTTCTGGAGCATCACATTTGTGGGGTCAATTAAACGCTCAAAATGGCCACAAAAAGAGAACTTTCATCTGAAACTCGACAGTCTATTCTTGTTCTTAAAAATGAAGGCTATTCCATGCGAGAAATTGCTAAGAAATTGAAGATTTCCTACAACGGTGTGTAGCACTCCGTTCAGAGGACAGCACAAACAGGCTCTAACAGAGTAGAAAAAGAAGTAGGAGGCGGCGTTGCACAACTGAGCAAGAAGATAAGTACATTAGAGTCTCTAGTTTGAGAAACAGACGCCTCACAGGTCCCCAACTGGCATCTTCATTGAATAGTACCCGCAGTAGCCTGTTTGTGCTGTCCTCTGAAGGGAGTAGTACACACCGTTGTAGGAAATCTTCAATTTCTTAGCAATTTCTCGCATGGAATAGCCTTCATTTTTAAGAACAAGAATAGAATGTCGAGTTTCAGATGAAAGTTCTCTTTTTGTGGCCATTTTGAGCGTTTAATTGACCCCACAAATGTGATGCTCCAGAAACTCAATCTGCTTAAAGGAAGGTCAGTTTTATAGCTTCTGTAACGAGCTAAACTGTTTTCAGATGTGTGAACATGATTGCACAAGGGTTTTCTAATCATCAATTAGCCTTCTGAGCCAATGAGCAAACACATTGTACCATTAGAACACTGGAGTGATAGTTGGAAATGGGCCTCTATACACCTATGTAGATATTCCACCAAAAACCAGACATTTGCAGCTAGAATAGTCATTTACCACATTAGCAATGAATAGTGTATTTCTTTAAAGTTAAGACTAGTTTAAAGTTGTCTTCATTGAAAAGTACAGTGCTTTTCCTTAAAAAATAAAGACATTTCAACGTGACCCCAAACTTTTGAACGGTAGTGTATATTTTTTATTTTTTTTTAAAGGACATCCACTTGAATTCAGCTCAATTCAGTTTATTTAATTCCAAATCCATGTCATCTCATTGCCCTTTACAGAAACAGCACAGTCAGATTGGTTAAAAGTTTCTGTCATCCATATGATAATAATCTAACAAGTCCCTCCCTCCCCAATCAGTCGGATTCAGTTTTCCACATCCACCACTGCAGCCACAATTTCCTGGATTTTGAGATTTCCAAGTAGCTCCCAGCCGTCAGCTACGATGGAACGTCATGTTCCAGCTAGACACAGACTTTAGCCCATGGAACCATGAAGTAAACTAAACCACTCTGACAAAGTTGGGGTTATTTTATAAAAAATGTGAGGAAAGTATGACAAAAAACACATCTCAGGAAAAAAATATGATAAATTAGAGAATGTATTGATGAGTCCTGCTGTTGAGGCGCCAACAGAGCATCTGCTAATCAGTTTCTTTAGGAAAGCATGTTTCAGATTGGAGAAAAATACCTGCTGGAACTGTCCTGTTTCCCCTGTTTGGTACAAAGCAAACTCTGCTACTTATTGATTGATTAGAACAAAACTAAGCTCTGCACACATTCTGATAAGAATAAAAAGAAATAATGCAAAGTAACAAATTCAGGGAGAGGAAAACACTAACCCTAACCCAACACAAACCTCATTAAAACAATACTTAGACTAGAATTTTATATATATCTGTGTGTATACCGTGTTCTTTAAATCAGCCTGAACTCGATATAAAAGGTTTAACAGATAGAAAATAACATAAAAACATTAAAGCTTCTGTTGAAACTATTAATTTAAACAAACTTTCTCTGTTTCTGGTTAGAATAATCAGGTTCTCCATTCAGTCCGGTTCCATTCAGTCCGGTTCCTTTCAGTCGTACAGCAGCCGGAAACTTTCCCCAAAGTAGTAATACTTTCTATTAATATTACTTTAATGTAACTAGTTACTCCCCAACGAGAAAAAGTAGATGATTTGTTCGTTTCTGTGACTTGAATTCAGTGATTGGTTTGAAAAAAAAAACTTCCAAAGACTCTAAATGAGATTAAGAAGTTGGAGTCAACAGAAACCAGCAGGACGTTGTGAATCATCTGCTTTTATTAATTAATAATTAATGTTTAACAGATGTAACAAAGCTGGGAGACTGAAGAATAACTGGAATGAAACAGTTCTGAATGTAGATGTTTTCAGGTACGCCTGTTTATGAACCAGAATATGATTGAGTTTAGGGCTGCAACAACGAATCGATAAAAATCGACTTTTAAAAGCGTTGGCAACGAATTTCATCATCGATTAGTAGTGTTGCGCGATTAATGCGTCATCCGCCGCCGTCGTCATCACTGCCACTTGATTGAAACGCGGGAAGAAAAAAAATACGGCAGAGCGAGCCAGCGCTCTATTGACCGATACCGCAAATGCAAGCTGCGTCTCAATTCGCACACAGCCTGCGCTTTGTAAAGCAAAAAAAGTCGTAACATGCAACTTTTGTAAAAACAAATTAACATGGCACGGAAGCACCACTGTTATGATGCAGCATCCGAAAAGGAAACACGTTGGAGCCTTTGATGGCAGTTAAGAGAGCTGATCAGCAGGGTGAGCGACCATGTTTGTTTGGTTTTAAAGTGGGGAAACGTAACGTTAGTTTCTAAGGTATCTGATGCTTTCCTTACCGTGTTAGTAGGTTACAGACAGTGATAAGGTTGGCTACTGATTTTACTTTTAATTTCATTTGAATTAGCTTAAGCAGCGTTTATATTTTCTTTATAAATAAATTAACTTGCAAATTATGAGGGCAAGGCTTTTAAAGTTTAAATCTTCTGGCAAAGATAAAGAAGATCCTGCAATTTATGGAAGTAAAGCAGAATAAAATCCAGCAAGATCAGTAATATGTCAAATAATTATCTGCCACATTCCCATCTAAATATCTGTCTTTGGAGGATGTGTTTTTTACCACCCCTAGTTCTCTCATTTTTATTCCAAATACAATTTATAATTTGAATCACAGGGCTATTTTTATCTCTATGGTTCAGTATTTTCTCAAGTAGCAACTTTAACTGCTATACTTTCCTGTCTTAAAAGGCAGAACTCTTCTAGTCTAAAAAAAACTCATTTGTTGAAATGGGGGGGCCTATTGTTTGAACCCCTTAGGGGCTTTTAGAAACAAAAATGCCTGTCTTTTTTTGCGCTTTATGAAACAAAGTACCCTATATTTTGTGGATGTACAGCTACATTTCTCATGTAATTTTGCGTAGTTTTAACACAAACATTTATTTTTCATATTGCACCAGTACAGTTAATGAGCAACCTGTACTCGTGTGCTTGTTTGTTCTGTCTAAAATGTTTATTTTGGAATAAAGAGGTTAATATAAAAAATATATTTTGTCCAATTCATCAATTAATCGAAAAAATAATCGGCCGATTTATCGTTTTTTTAAATAATCGTTAGTTGCAGCCCTAATTGAGTTTGGATGTTCTGCTCTTTATGGCTAAATGCTAGTTAGCTGTGCTATCTGCTCAGGTAGCGAACATGCACTCCACTGTGCAGCACTTCTGCAGCTCGGCCCGCTTAGCATGCTGACTGATGACAAGGCAGCAAGTTAACAACTGTCTGCATCGGAGTTCTAA